CATCACAACTAGTTTATTGAGCGATATACAGGGTTAGTGCGGAGGGCATTTTATAACAAAATACACTAGTTTACCTTATCGATATGACTCGCAAACTATTCCGGAAGATAAATGTTATTTTTTACGTTTTTTCTTCAAAACAAATCCAAACATTTCGTATTTGTGAGTAATTCGCAACAAATGATGAGTAATGAGTAATTACTCACAAACACGAAATGTTTGAACCTGTTTAGAAGAAAAAAGCATAACCTTCGTTTTTCGCATAAAAATAACATTTATCTTTCGGAATGGTTTGTGATTCATATCGTCAAGGTAAACAGGTGTATTTTGCTATGAAATGCTCTTCAAACGGACCCTGTATACTGTTCAATAAACTAGTAGTGATGGCCGGAAAACAGGTGTTTTGGGATAAACAATTAGAAATTCTCAAAAAACTACTTGACCAATATACTCCAATTTTGTTGTTGTTATTTAGAAGTATGAATCCTAGGGATTTGAAGAATTTCAAGTAGTTGCGTGAAATTATCGTCGCATTACAAGTGCCAAAACCTGCATGTTGCCTCGTTTTCCGGCCATAACATTTTTGCTATAAGTCTGATCTTTTTTCGTGTGGTCTCATTTTGTAGGTCTCAAAAATACCTAAAAATCTTATATGAAAAGTTTGTTCGTTCCTGTCAACACTGTCGATTGAATCCCAAGAAACACGTTTTCTCAATCTTTGTTGTCAAATAAAAGGTTTTCCCACCAAAAATGGTGTGCCCATTTTATGCGTCCATGTTTTAAATACCCCCTTGAACAACCTGCACCAAAAGAAGCAGACTTTACAATTATTTCGGGGAAATTTGCTACTATAATTGGACTAATAAGTCTGGCAAATGATTGGTAATGAGAGGATAAAGTGAGTCAAGCAGGTTGAGTCAGTACTTCCTACACCATATGTCATCAATTAGATTGCGTTCGGTTTATTTAAAAAAAAAACGTGTTGTGACAGGAGCCAGCGGTGAGAAACCCTGGACAATCATCATCGGGCGGTCGCACTCGAAACGTGTTAATCTGAAGCGTGAGTTAAACCTGCCAATTTCAATGTAAGTATGACCATTATATCTAACAGGTGCCTAGTATTACCTGAATCAAAAACTTCTCAATAATAAAACGTCTTTCACTAATACCAAAGATGCAAACTTTACCCCCAAACACCAATTTTGAACCTCCCCTCAAAAAAGGAATGAGCAGTACAAATGTAAATAACACTAAAATTTTGAGAGTCAACCTCATCTCCCTTCAACCTCCCTGCCTCAATTTTTTATTCTTTGAAAATAATTCCAAAAATGAGCTGAAGTCTCTGAAACGCCAAAAAACGATCCTTGAGCAATTTTGTTTTCTCTAGTAGTTCTGCCGCCACTCGAACGTTTTTCAAAATCTACGAAATTGTTTGCTTTTTTGTCAAAATTTCTACAATATCGAACAGTATTTCTCGCGTTATAGAAAAATCAAGATTATCGAGAAGGTATAGGTTTTTGAACATCACTAAATTAAACTTGCTAATAGTTGTTATTTATTCCTGGCTTTTATGAACCGACCTTAATATCCAATAAGCTTAATCAATTTTGCGATTCTTATTATCACTAATAGTACGAGTTACGATGTAGTCTATCTAAATGCAGAATTGACAAAAACCAAGTAAAATTTCTAATACCGATATTACACGCAACAAGATATTTCTTAGGTTAGCACAAATCAGAGTCTAAAATCTGAGAATATGTATATGCATTCAGGGAATTGGTTGTAACCGCTACAATTTCATTTCGGTATTCTTATTTTAATCTATTTAACAAGGTTGTTTCAATGTGGACTAATGTGTTGATGATCACTTAGCTGCCTCTAAATCGCTGTAATATGAATATTCCTAGTTATATCCTTATGGAATGCACGTGGTTAAGAGGCGACCATGATTTCCTGAAAAGTAATTATGTATAATGAACTAAACAATGTTTTCGCTAAACCGTTATTTGGCTTTAAGTGTATCCCTCAATATTACAGTATTTGAATACGTATAATTATCTCGATATTCTGGAAACACATACACGTTCTAATATCTTGTTATGTATGGTCAAAAAAATAAGTATAAGGTGCTAATAAAGGAATGAAGACTCATTTGGTTAAAGAATCTTTAACGAAAAAGTTGAAGCTTACGGCGAGCTCGAATTTCACTATCGGCTTGCCTAGATGTGCTCATAAGACCTAGGATATGGTCGAAAAGTGCATGACCACATCAGAGCCTTGTGAACATAATATACAAAGAATCTCAGGAAAAATGGAGAAATACTAAGTCATGCCTTCATCAAACGAAAAAGATGCCGCTGTATGTATAAATTTAACCTGCTGCAGATATAAATTTCTTCATTTGATAGGAATAATAATTACCCGGTATTCCGTCACAACAAGTGAACAAAACTCGGTACGTTGGAGTCATTTCGAATGCCGATTCCGAATACGGCAAGCATAAAATCATCAGATTAATAATATGATTCACCCAACTAACAAGTTTTGGTCGAGAATGCAAATACGAAAGGATTTTTGAAAATAAATACAGTAATATGCCTTTAAATTTAGTTTCGAATATACCATTCGAAAAATGCTGAAGTGTCGCGGATCACAATTCGGAATATGAAAATAAGACTTTTAAGGCCTCCGTCAATCTCAGCGAATAACTGACCAGGTACGTGATTTACGCACCCGTTTTATCCAAGAAAGGGATTTAAGTCGAAATTGTAGATGGTCAAGATTTTTACGAATACCTTTTCTCTTTAATAGCATCTATAACAATAAGGAACACCATGTACGAATTCGTCTTCTTACTACGCTTTCGCGTAATGAAGTTTGGCGATCCCAGTGGCTATTTGGGTCTCGCAAACATCTGCACCGAATATGTCCAAAACTGTGAAGCCGTACCAACCTCGAAGAGCTAGAAATTCTACCGTCTTCTCGTAGTAACGCCGTCGTGACTGGAGCTCTGAGCAACAATGAGACACCCTCCAAACTTCGAGGCTTACGCCATCTATCAAGCTTCGATGATGAAGGTTCGAGTTATGCGTTGAATGCTTCTAGATTCGTGACTAGAGAGAGTTAACGGATGAGTCAACAACGCGGACCAGCGTAGTTCAGTCGACATAACCATACATTACATTAGTTGTGAGTAATGAATTAGACTTTTAAATAGTAAAATCAGTATTTTAATTACACGAACAATTTTTTTCTTGGACCACGAGTGTTGGGCATTATTCGTGGTAACCTAGTCGAAACTTTGTCTATTGTAACTCCTAGATAGACTAGTGAGTTAGAAGGGACGATCTGTGTGCCGCCCAACATGGGATCACCTGGTTCCTATTTTTTCTGGATGCTTTAGCAATTCTCTCATCTATCTGTCAGTTCTCCTCAGTGCTAAGTTCACTCTCAACATCAGCAGCTCAGCGTCTCTGGCCATGGCTATAATGGCAAAGTCATCAGCAAAACCTAACTGGTCTATGCCCGGGGGCATCCTCTGCCTTAACGGCTGTATCGTCCGTCGTTTCTACATTTTTAGGACGCCTTTATAGCCTTCTTGATTTTTGTACTCTTTTCACACCTTCAGAAAGGCTGAGATATTTCTAGATTTCTACTGTTCCGAGTCAGAGTCAGCGCTCTCTTATTGTTAAGTTGTGTTTTCTTCTTCAATTGTAGTAAATTTTAGGCTGATAAAGCAGATGATATAAATCAAAAGCATGGCAGGTATTTTTGACATAACCTCAAAATAGAGCGCTGACATGGGACAGTAGAAAACTACGAAAATCAAGGAGGCCATATAGGTGTCCTACAATTGTAGGAACGACTGACGATACGGCCCTAAGACTCGATCGTAGAGAATATTCAAAAGTAGTGGGCCAAGAGGTGAGCCTTGCCTTATCTACCACTATTTGTCTATCTTGGAAGTAGCTGCTAATTACACTTGTATGTTGAGTAGTTTTAGTAGTAGTAGTAGTAGAAGTGGTGGTGAGGAGGCGAAACCTGGCAATTATTCCACCTTTGACCCTTTTTGCCAACCCCATAGTACCAACACTGCGCTATTCCACGAGCCGTCTACTGTTAACTGATATAACAAACCAGCTCCAGCGATGATATTGCACCCACGTGCGTAACATAGACAACACACCACCCAACAGCCTTAGCAAGGAATTAACTTCCGAGGAAGAGATTTGAAGCGTGAGCCCCGGGTCAGCGCCACCGAACTACCGAGACTCTCTAGTTGGGGGCAACGCAATGGATAATTTTTGTCCCCGCTCTTCAATTGTCACAAGAACATCCGCTTTTAGAAGAGCACCGATGCCTCCACCCCGCCCCTGCTCTTCAATCTTCTGTCACAGATACCCCCACCTCCCACGAAGGATATCTTCTTGAACAATTTCGGAGGGCGCTAGAAAATAATTTATTCTCAAGGAAGACGAAATAAACTAGAAAAGCTTTGACCTAAATACTGAGTTTTTCTTTTTTCCGGTAATTACATTTGTCTTTTCATTATATTCAATACACATACACATACAAGCATCGCCCATCAGCGAACATGTCAGAGTCTATAGATTTTACAAATTCACAAAACGATGGACAAGTTTGTTATGTTTCCAAAATATCGAGAAATTTGCCATGTTCATACAGTAAATATATAACCACAGGACCGCGCTACTCCGTGCGCTAACACCGACCCGTTCCAAGAGATGACACAGTACTAGCCCATTTAAACTATGCACTAAGCCAAACCTTTAACTCAACCTCATACCTTGATCACTCGTGCTGTTCTAGGCCCTTGTATAGCGCAAATGGCACTGTGTAAATAAGCCAGTATTGCGTCATCTTTTAGCGCAGAGTAGAAAACATAGCCACTGAAATCCCAAACAGCTAGTTCTAATTGACATTTGACAGTTGAGTAAGCAAAACAAAGCCTCTGCATGCGGTGACTCAGTGATTACCTTGTTGGCAAGACTGGCTGAAGCTACGCTGCTCATGGCGCTACCCGGTTCTACCTTAACAGAGGTCTCTTGAGAAGCCCGCCTCTGAAACCTTTGTAAACCACTTACTACAGGCTTGGACACATTCTGCTCGATCTGCTGAAAAAGATACGCAGCCCAGGGCCGGATCCCCGAATCAAGTTATGAATCAGTACAGATGCTACGAACTGGCATGCATGAACTACGTATTTGATACCGGTATGCTAACCATCAGCGACTTGTTCAGTTTATCTATCAGTTAGTCTACAAGCGGACTGATGCAATTTGAGGAAGTGAACACGTTGAGCTAATGTGAAGCGGTACAGTGATCTTATACTGATTGACAGTAGCCGTAGAATAGCTTTGACAGAGCGCAACATTTGAACCACAAGCTATCAACTCCGTTGGGCCAAAGGCGGCTGAGGGCAACCCTTGACTCGTTCATCCAAGGGTTTTGTTTGCTAATAACACTTTTATTGGCAAACCGCCTTTAAATTTAAAAATAGTCGTATAATAATTCCTATAATATGGGCATTAGAGGGGCAAATTACAAAGTGTACCGAATCACCATCAGACTTAAAATTCCACCACTCAGTGGAGTGATTCCAGGAACTTAACTCGCCAGTGCATCCCCACCCTTCAGTTACTACGGTACCGTGTGCCGCCACCGCAAGATTGAATAATATCTAGATATACCGGCTGCAACTTCGAACTGCCTCTGGTGTAAGCTCTTCAGTTCGACTAGGCCGCAATAAGATGGCCTTACACGCCGCTTGACCTTGGATAGGGCGATTCTGCTTAACAAGAACTTAATTTAGCCCCTTCGCTTAGAAACGAGGTCCTAAATGGGATCGCCCATGACACAACATAACCGACCGAATCTGTTCTTGATGCCCATTCGCTCTTTTACGCTGAATCTGTTAGTCGATCCATTTGAACTGACCAATCAGCGACAATGCTGCCCCCTCTGGCTTTCGAGCCACTAGAATCTATAGTCCAGTCGAACTAGGATATTGTGTGATAATAATGCCATTGCAGACTGACAAAGCTATCCCATGGCTACTGCTACTCAGCATAAGGGTGCTACAGCTCTTGACCCGTTAACGTTGGCTGAATGCGCTCTACCTACTAATTGGTAGTTCCTATCCATTCACAATGAGGCTCAGGCGCAACTAGTCTTCTTGTTATACTGAAACACTTTTAGATAGTCAATAATAGTTTTTATGTTTAAATTTCAATTAGACCTCTTGTAGACTAGCTTCCAACAAAAAAAGGACTGCTAACAAAAAATTCTATTTGTGTCTGCTGCACCCCAATTATGCTCAAGCATTCCATAAAAAATAAACCAAGATATATCATAGCCAAAAAAAAATACATTGTTGACTATGGCCATCAGCTATTAGATGTAAAGTCCGCCAAGAACGTTTCGATAGGGAAATGTGTTATTTTTGGTTTTGCTTTCATTTCAAAGAATCTAATATCATCTCAATACGATTTATGGCTTAGCTCAATTGCTGTATATCGCTTGCTATTGACTGAACCTGCTGATAACTGGCACAGCTCCACATACCCTGTTTGATGTACGTAACTCCAGTCAATCAATCCCAATGTTTTTAAAATTTGCAAACCCGTCCATTCGGATAACACCTAGCATAATGGCTAAACCATACTTCACGCTGCGCCAGTTTGTGCAACTGAACGTATTCATTGTTGACTTCGAATACCTATAGTTTTTGTGTCGGTGCCGTGATAGCTGACTACAACCTCCAATATCTTATCTCCTGTAAGACTAATACATTTTCCATGAATATTTTTGCACTTTTCCTCGTTTTTAGAAGTGAAGGCAACTGTAGGTACTGTCCTGTTATCATTATTTTATTCTATGGCCTAACCATGTCTTTGAATTTGTCCATCAAATGAAACCATAGTTGATAAATTAGTGACTTTACTGAATTTGGACTGCCTCCAAAGTCTTTTCCAATATACAAAACCAAAGAAGAGGCGAAACGTTTTTTGAAGTTACAGAGAATACAATCAATTTCAGTTAATTGGCAGGCATACTTCAGCAATCGATATCTGTTAGCCATTAGTATACATGTGCATTTGTCAATAATATATCAATATGAATAACTGAAATATTGATAAGGAATAGAATAGAACACTCACGGCTGCCAAGTGTTGGTTTGCCACTGTAGGCCGTGGTCCGTTGCCACTGTTGTGAAGAATAGCGGCACTACTGTGCCCATTCATTTGAAGAGAATTCATTGCTGGATTGGCAGCTGTTCGTACCGATGTGGACAGTAAGTGCATGGGCATAGGCATAGGCATTACAGGTAAGGTGGGGCACAACATTGGTGAGGAGGGGTATAAGGTTGAAGCGGCTGATACTCCGTGGTTGTAAAACAGTCCTGGCATGTACTGAACTGAAAAAGAATGTTTGAATAAGGTAATGTATAGTGAGACGCATTCATTGATGGAAGTTATTTGTGAATAATTACTTCTATGATCGTATGATATCCACTGATGTAGATAGTGTTTCCTCTTAGTTTGATAGGGGCAACGCGGGTATTCCACATAGATCCTTTTTGAGTCCAGTGCTCGAGCAGTGCTGCTCTCGTTCCAGAAAAATGAACTGTGGATAAGTTGGAGGAAAGGAAACTATACTGCACTGTACCAAACAGGATAAAGTCGAGCAAGCGTCAGTTTCTACTAAATAGTCGACATTAGCCAACATTGTTCTACTCGTATTATTATGCTATTTGTTGAAAATAGCAAGAACCCGATTTCTCACGATCACATCTCGTTCATTGCTAAAGTCAGTACAAAAGAACATGGGTATCTATTTGAAAAACCGAAAATACTTTTCACCCTATAGTGGGCCTAGACCGAGGCTGTTATTCTTATATCCGGGAATCTGCTGCATCAACTACACACTGTTCATTCTTGGCGCGGTTGAGTAGTGGAGGTCGATTCACGTAATCTATAACGCTTCCTTGAGAATTCAAACCCACTTCACTTTTCTACCGATGATACGGGTACTTTTCTAAAGCGCTAAAAAAAGGGGAACGCTCCAGGAAGCGTGATCCTTCCTGGTGTTACTGAGTTTTTCTTCCTTTACTGATCTTAATCAGTACAAAAGTCTTATTAAGCTTTTCTTAACTCCTCATGGTAGTCACGATAGAAACATTTAGGTTTTGGCTTTTTGACTATATAAATTGTTTCCAGCTGTAATAGTTCTCAAACAAGGTGCTTTATACGAAACTATGATTATGATTATGAATTATTGTGGCTATGGTAAAATTTTATAAAAATAGTCTGGACGAAAAATGTGAATCAGCCAATCAGGTTCACTTATATTTGGGAAGTGATGGGCTCATTACGAGACACTCATTAATTTCATCCAATCTATAAGATATTCAAACAAAATAAAGATTACTTTTAATAAAGTCGTATACCTTGCCACTGACAACTATGCTAGTAGTTGCTAAGATACACACGGCATCTAAGAAATATTTCTGTATCGACATACCTTGGTATCTAGAGCCAGAATTTATGATAGCAGCTGGATCACCATACTGGGTGGTACCTGCAACCGTCCTTTGAGTCGTCGGAACAGCTGGTAGATAGTAAACCGGGAACATGCCAGGTGTGGCAGCGGTACTTAAACCTCCAGAAGCTGTTGGGCCCACTGGTGTGGTGTTTACGCTCGCATAGGTGTTCTGCAGCGAAGATGCTGCTACTGAGAATGGCGGCCATAGGTTCACTTCGCCCAACTGCAAAAAATTTATATTTTAAGGGTATGTTTTATGATACTGTACGGTTTTGGTGTGCAAAATTTCACTTTAGCCTTCTGTTATTGAACAAGGAAACTAAAGTCCATATACCAAGGTATTTCTTGGTCGTTGAATGTGAATATGACCATAAAAACGGTTTAAGTGTGATAGAGAAAACTTTTGAACAGAAAATAGAACCACTGTGCCTTTTTGTCGATCCCAGGAACCAATTGACATCAGATTCGGAATATTCACACCGGATTTACCCCGGAAAGAAGTTGGTTTCAGGATCATAGGTGCGCAAGGATGTTTTGACATTGTCTCTTGGGATTTATTGAAAAATGCGCATTTTAATTTTGGTCCCCTGTTACCACAAATCAACACAATTTCTTTTGCTAAGGTGTATTGAGAATCTAAATGTCATTAAAGAGCGCTTAATTGCTGCGGAACTCAATGTATGATAAAAGAAGTTGGTGCTAACACCAAACTGATATTAGATTCGAAATTTGCGCACCCAATCTACTCAGTAACCAAGCGTGTGCCAAGATCAGTTAATATTTGTACATACGCAACAATGTTTGGGATTTTTATCTTAGGAGGTTTCGAAGTATTAAGGTATTGCTATGCAAAATTTCTGTTTCCAATTTCCGTTACTGGAAGTGAATAAAACTCCGCATTATAAGGTATTCTTGGATGCTAGATTCGAATATGATTACTTGTCATGAAGTCGCGTGAAATAGGCCTCCTGAGACGTCTGATCGGTCCTATTGCCAATCAAATCTATGCATCCGATTTACGCAGGAAACAAACATACCTACTAAATTTTCATTACCATCACTTTTTCTACAAATACTCAGAACTCCGTATACGAAATTATTTGCGGGCCATGAATTGGAGAATCACAAAGCTCTAGACACGATATTCGATTGGGAGAGGGAAATAGCTTAACCGTGAATAGTAGCCACTGAGGAGATAATAGATAGCTTATAGTCCATGAGTCTTTGACCTCTTATGACCGAGATTCTGGCGGTTCTGTAAGATTTCTTATAGTATACGGTTTTGCCGCACAAAATTCCCGTTTTTCGTCGCATGTTACTAGGAGTTATTGAGGCTCCGTATATTAAATTATTTTGAAGAGATGATTTCGAATTTGACTACTAAAAAATGCTGAAGTACAGTAGGGTCGAATTTAAGGCAGAAAATGGACTCATTAGGTCAGCATTTTAGTTCTGTAACCAAATTGATATCAGCAAACCATATCCATAGATATGCAATGATTTATGGGATTTTTCTTGCTTTTTGTTCCATGTTACCACCAGAAAATATTCCACCCTCGGCGCCTAGTGGGTTCCGTCACCAAAGTAACTTAAAATAGGGAATTTCTGAATCTGCTTTAATCAGGAAATGAGTTAATGCCCCCAACATAGATATGGCAGGATTTTTGCAAACTTGATTCCTAACAAAGGTGACAACGTGGGGTTTATTAAATCATTTTGGGACAAATATGAATGTCAATAATGCATTAAGCAATGGGGTGGAATATTATGCAGAATATAGGTAAATTAGCACGTCCTACAGGCTTTAGCCCAACATTGACCTCGGATTTGGAGTCACCCAAATTGCTTAGGAAACAACTTTACGTCCAAATCAGAGATGCTCAAGGATTTTTGACAATGTTTTGGAGATATAATTCATGGTAACAATATGATAGTTTTGTTAAGCTTACCCCAGCTTGGTAAGACATTTCCCCATTGCAAACTATTGGTGTGTGCACCTGACGCTGGTTCTTGTAGATGTTCACTTGTTGCTTAGCCAGCTGTTGTGCATTACCGTGATTGGTGCTCGCCTGTCCCACTTCCTCTTTTTGATTAGCCACCCCTGATTTGTAGCGATGTTTGGAGATTTTGTGCTGGTTGTCACTAGCGCCTTCCGGGGAATAGGAACAACATCTGGAAAAACAATAATATTTTGTCTTGTACAAAATTATACGAAAAAACTGGGTTGGGATAGTGCTAGATTTCCTTCTTGACATTAAAGTGAAAAAACTGCGGCGAAAAACTGATTTGTGATTTACGTACCTTTTGACACCGTGAGCTGGAAGTAATGGTACTGGAGATGCATGGTCCATCCTGTGATTGATGTTAGCTCGCTCTAATGCGTGGAACTTCTCAGTCTTCTGATTGTAATGGTAAATTTGGTTATGATGGTGGTTATTTGAATGGGACTTTTTGTTTTCTTTGGTACTGAATCGCTGTTCTCGATGTTTCTTCAACATTATTTTCTCCATGTCCTCATTGTGTCTGAAATAGAGCAAAGATGTAATTTTAATTCAATCCTACAATTATTATAGTCACACATACATAAATAATCGAGTTATAGGCTTTATGAATAAGATTAAAAAATAAGAAAATGGCATATCTCGTCGATTTGATGTTAGTTTATGGTGAGCATCTGCAAGATGTTGCTAGCACTTCGCGAGCATATTTATTCCTAGATAGCCTCAAAAGTCAGAAACTGAGGGATAAGTTATACAGTTAATGTTCGGCAACAACTTAGAGAGCGGAAATTTCTCAACGGAGTTGCTTTTAAAAGGGAAAGTCTTTTAAAAAACTAGGTTGGTACGGGAAGCTCACCAAGCCCCATCGGTTCTCATATGAGACTTACCTGGAGAGAAGAGACTCGGTGAGGTGTAGTGGCTTGAAGCTCTCTTTAGATACGATGTTGTGGCTCTTTGCTGTCTCCATATTTGGATTGCTGGCAGAACTCATGTTCTCTGCACTGCCACTCCCGCTGCCACTCATATGACCGCTGTTTTGTATAGGCGACAGGCACTTGTCATTCCTGGATAACAAATGTTTTATTCTAAGTTATATTTTCTATTGACATTTCAGGGCAGTGCAGTTTTGCCATTGATTTTATAACTATATAACGTATATGAATACTCTGCAGAGAAGGTAAATATTGTTCTTATAAGCTTAGCTGCACAAACATACAAAAAGGAGTAGTGGAAATTTGCAGTATGTGGTTCATTATGATCTCTACCCAATGAGCGCAATGTTTGATAGTGAGCAGTTTTCGAAACATATGACGATATGAATTTCAATTTAAAATGTATTTGTACATTAAAACACATCTTTACACTATATAATCTATGTTCATGTACAATATGCAACTACTCATCTGTTATTTTCTACATATACTACGCGTAAATCACGCAAAACCAGGTTCCGTATCACCCTAGAAGCCCTCTATACGTTTGAACACATATAACATAACTAAATGCTTGTACCTGTCAAAGTTATGATTTCTATGCTTGTTTATGCCTTTCTTTATGTCAAACTGCATGCCAGATGCTTGACAAGTCGAGACAACACGGCGAAACGTATATTCGGTCTACTATGGCTGACACAACGCTAGATATCAAAATTCCTTATCTTTGACCGTCGATAGCTTAAGTGCGGTCCTTTACCGAACTTTGAGTCCCATGGACTTTTAATCAGAAGATCGTCCAGCATATTGCAAATTCAGCCGATTCCCCTGTATCCGTTTTCCCGTACGTCTCGTGTCGTATTCTTTGAGTCCAATTAAAAAAAAAGCCGTCACTGGTGAGAATCGAATTCACGACCCCACATCTTAGGAAAAATGCTTTGATCGTCCAAGTTCGGTGGCTATTGCCAATTGTTGATTTCTCAAGAACTTGTTTAAATAATGAAAACATCCTGGTGTGGCAGTTGCGAATCTACGTTGTTCCAATGTCATTCACATAAGTGTTTTTTGAATTCCCAACTAAATTTAGGACATTTGATCTGCTCCTACTTACTGGTTGTTCCCTGGATTATTCTGCGCCGAATTCTGACACGCTTGCTGGTAGTGGGTGAAAGCCGAAGGCTTGGCATCCGACTCTCCACCAGAATCAGTCTGTATCAAAGCTGCACCAGCTCCACTGCTTCCAGCACTCTCATCGGACACGGTGGTCTTGGGTTTGCTCTCGAAGAAGCGTTGTAAGTTCTCATTGTAGTTCAGCTGGTTGTAGCTAGGGGGCGTCTCGCTGCTCGACTTGCTGTCATAGTATTCGTGGTGGGGGGAGATCTCGCCCAGCATCACTGAGTCACGTTCCTGCAAGAGGTGATGTCCATCATGGAAGGACTGCTGTTGGTTGTGTGGCGATGTGGTAGTGGTTTTGGTACAAGACTGTTTGTGGCGATAGTGATTGTGGTAGTCATTGTGATAAGGTGGAAGATCATCTTGAAGGTGCTGAATTGATTGTTGTAGGTTCTGGTGGTCAGAACATTGTGATGGTGGCAAAACCAATGCCGGTGCTGGCTAGAGATAGCAAAAATACATCGATACATTTATAGGTTGTCCACATAACAATATAATATCATCATCGTGACAGAAAGAGTAGCAGAACCTTGGTAAAATATTAGCTTGCCATCCCTGGTTGCCGTGGAAATAAAAAAAAATTATAAATCACAGGTAGGTCAGTGCAATGTTGAGGTACGGAGTTTGAAACAAAGTGTTTGGTCTCCTGAAATACTTCCTTAACAAAAATTTTGTGTCTATGATTTTACTAAGAATACTCGGCCTCGTAAAAACAAGCTATATTGTCATGTCCAAATGTTGGTGCTTACCGATGTGGTTAGGTCGATACGTGGTGGTAACTCTAGCTGATGAATATTGACTTCATCCATCAGAGTTTCCATGAAATTGGCCAGATCTTTGCAACGTTTCGAAACCTCGTGCTTAGCAGCTTCGGTTGGTCTTGGCAGTTCCTGTTTTATGAAAATTTTATATATTATAGACAATGTACAAATTATTGTTTGTGGTGATATTACTGTCACATAGCATGATGGACATAATATCTTACCTTGTTCAGTAAAAGTAAAATTTCGCCTTGAATAAGCTTGCTTTCTTTCACAACTTCCTCAGACACGTTTTCGATATATTTGAGAGAGCACGTTTCGAAGATATCTGGATTGGGTGGACCCTGCAAAATTAAACATTTATAAACGCGTAACAAACACGTATCGGGAACATAATAATCACTAGTATAATTTAAACATTACCATATTCTTCATATAGAAACAAATATTATTACCTCTAGGACTCGATGCAGTCCAGTCACAAACTCCAGTTTTCTAGACCAAGGGTTCACGAAGCTTGACCATTCGGTTTCTACCATGGCGTATCCGCCATTTTGTACCGCGAATCGGTATGGTTTACTTCTAAGCACTGATCCAGCTATATGACACGTCTGCATCACTATAATAGAAATTTTAATATAAAGAATAGATAGAGAATAAGAAGAAGAGAAAAGTCATGACATAAATGAGCATAGAGCTGCCACAATAGTGTTAAAATAGCATAAAATTTAAAGAAGACGAAATGATACACGAATTGCTTGAAAAAAGTGTGGTAGATTATTCACACATAATGTGCTCACCAGACTCGTAGATTTCCTTAAGGAATGGCATATCTTCGGGATGGTAGAAATCAAAGACTGACTTGCCCAGCATGTCCTGGGGTAGAAATCCGAAATTGGTTACCACATCAGGATCCACGTGACTAAAGGTGCAGGACGCAGTATGACGCATCCCGAACTTCATAGACTTTTTTCTCTCTCCTGGAACTGATAAGAAAGTGTTCAGTGAATTTATGAAGGACAGGTCACAGCCATATTTTGCTTTCTTCGTCACAGTAGGTTTTTCAAATTTAAATTTACAGCGATAACGCTACATGTATGACAGCAAATAATGTTTGGAAGCAATTGATCAAGGACAGTGCCTTGTGGCACTGTAACTTTCATAATGAGGATTTAGAAAAACTATGGAAAATACAAATAACAATAATGAAATAAACCTAGTATCTTCTAACCTTTATAACACGTGTATACTGGGATAGCGATGACGACCAGAAACATTCCCCTATTGATATCCAAGCAATTGCTCTCAGGGGCTGGCTCAGCAACATGTTTAAATTTGACATTTAGTTGGAATGCTTGATATGACACACCTTTGTCCATCACTCCAAACCCATTTGACCTCAAACCGCGGTATTTTCTTAGACACACGTAGAGGCTATTCTTGTAATCTGAAAGTAAAGAATATTGAAAACTGTGAAAATATTGCTAAACAACGTCGAATTTCTTATTTTTTGATATGTCCCCAACCTTCATCCATTGAGTTGAGTCTCCAGATGCTAAATTAATAATTCTATTATCAATTTGAGGTTTATACTTCAATCAATTTTCCTTACCTTTGTATTTTCTTTGGGCGTCTACCAGAGGTAAAGCAATGCCTGTGGTGACCTGACTAGAGAACGTTTCGCGGTCCTTAGGATGAACAAAGTCGATGAAGGAACGGCCCAGCCACATATCCTTGGGGAACCCCAGAACAGAAGTCAAACTGGGCGTCGTGTAAAGCACCACACCGTCGTACATAGAGATCACGCAGCAGAATCCATTCTTAAACAATAAAAGGCACAAATATGATTTCAAATTGTTTAAAATTAACAAATATAAAGTATGCTCAATATACAGGGTGCCCAAAATAAGGACTACATACAAGAGGATCTCAATATCTGTGGGAGATACAGCTTAGGTTCATTTAGGGAAAAGTTGCGTCCTTTGGGGCGTATTTACATGCCGTTGAAACACTTTATGGACTACTGAGATATGTAAAAAAAAATAAAATTTGGCCAAATTATATTTATTTTTTTTCTGCCTTTATTTTAATAAATATCAAAAAACTAATTAAACTTTCCCATTGACACTTTTAGGCACTACATGATGATGTTTTGAAATTTCATAGCATCATATGGTCCGACGAGATTATGGTCACTAATAATGGTATCTCTAATAGCCGCAACACTCATTACTGGGCTCAAGAAAATCTCCGGACTAAAAAACTATCCAAACATCATACGTTTTGGGTTTAAATATGTGATGTAGAATTCTAGAGACCAAAATATTAGGACGATTAATTTACCACAACTCATTAACTGCCGAACGGTACCTTCAATTGTAGCGACATGATCTAGAAAACTGCCTGGATAATTTACCTTTGGCATAGGTTAATAGCTGTTGGTTTCAGCAAGACAATGCTCCTTCGCATAACTCTAGGCAAGTTCGAGAGTATCTTTCTCGGAAGCTGGATTGCTAATTCTAGTGAAGTGTACTGGCCAGCGCATTCCCCGGATAAAGCTCCTCTAGACTTTTTTGTTTGGGGCCTTATTAAAAACCAAATATCAGCATACTTTTGAAACTGAGCAGCAGTTACGACAATGTGTAATGGAAGCATTTAGTCTGATTACACCAGAAATGTTGCGTGATGTTCTGAATTCTACTGTTAGAAGGTAGATCATCATCACTTTATAAAAATTTACCCCATCATATCATTATGTATATACTAGTAAAATCACATAGTCTTACAACGGCTAATTGAAATAGAAAAATAAAAATCTCATTTTCTCTATAACTAATAAAACAAATGTAAGATGTGATATATATCCCCATGCATAGGAGCCTTGTCTTGAACACCCTTTATATAATACTATACAACTCCCAATACAACTTTAGGCTAATTTTCTTGAGATTCGGCGGAGTTCGAGCGGCTGCCACGTGTACTTGTGAGCTATTTCCAATAAGTCAGAATTGGACAAGTTGTGTTTTAAGCATCTTGTTCACAATAGTCTTGTTAATCCAGTCAAGTTAGTTAATTGTGTAAGTCTGAAAAAGTGAGATTAAAGTTTTGTTACCTCTGGTAGTGTCCTATTCATCATTTGCTCATTTCCCTCATTTTCAGAATTAGGTGGCGGTTGCGCAGTCCCAGTTTTTGAAGACTGTTTATCCTCCATCTCCTGGACATGTTGTGCGGCATTTTTGTTCCACTGGCCTGCATTGTCAGCTTGCGCCTCCTTCTCCACGATGTCAGTTGTAATCGGACTCTCCGCTACCGTACAAAAAATGGACATACCACGGAGGCTGTGTTATATCGAGATTCAGCTTTACAAACGCTAACTATCGGCCATACGGCTTCAAGCGCAATATTTTGTACATATAATTGTCAAGTTTAAGGACGTTGTTTTGATTTTTTACGAGTCAAGTAACAATAAATTCATTCAATAAAAACTATACACATCATCTCAAAGTATAATGAACTGGTGATTTGGGTAATTTTTAGGTAATTTACGCATTTATGGGTATTTTAGTATTTTACTTGTTAAGAAATCTTTTGTGTACTATAATTCAAACCACAACTTTCAAGGTCGAGATAAACGATCTCACTTTTAATTGCACAGACTTTAAAGATAAAAATTACTTTCTTCCGGTAAAAGCTGAACCGATCTAGATCAAAAAAATTAAAATTTCAAAGTGCCATACCTCAGCTAAATAAATATACATTTAGGCAAATTTAACGCATTTCAAAGGGCAAGGCTTGTACTATGAGAAGAGAACTATGGTTTATTTTAAAGAAATAATTTGCAGTGCTACATAATCTCAAATATAGGCAAAAATCCCTATTTCTGCACATTTAGGTTGATATATCTTGAAAACTAGAACCAGTTGAGATATTTGGGCTACGGATTCGGATTCAGTGTATCAAAAACTTTCGGGAAAGTATACTCTGATTGTTGGATAAAAATCTTGCCAGCATGTGTGATTGAAGGACGAACAAAATAGATTTTTTTTTTAGATGTTAAGTATTTCTATTACCTATGGTGGAAGTTGTATTGTTACCAGGCATAGTCAAGTCCTGTTGCAGCAAAACAAGAGCATCAAGTTGTTTGTCGTCGATTTGCTCAGCTTTTTCAGCAACTTCCTCAGCTACCACGGCGTCCTCGGGTGCTGTTGGAGGAACTACCATTTCCACAACTAAGGATAAATAGCACAAAATAAGTTGGTTGAACGATAACAATTTATGAGGTTCATTCCTAATTGGTACGCCATCGTATAGGACTTTTTAAGCTTTTTATTGTGTTCTACATATTTAAATAAATATGCAAGGTAAGCCAGCTTACAATCGGTTGATAGCTCGGTTATTTTTAAAGATATCTGAAATAGCTTTTTACAAAAATTGTAGGCAACTATACGCTCCCTACTTGAAAAATACAGCGCACCCTACAAGGTGATTCGTAGCTACAGTTCAACCCAAATATACGTCTTTTTGAATGGAGTAACCTATATTCTGAAAGGCGTCTTCAAAGCAAGAAGGCTGGTATAGGATATTATTTTGGTTTGGATTGTTGCTGCTGGATCTATGGGGTACTTTGTCCGAAAATCACTCAACTTTGTTAGCTTGTAATTTGGTATAGATAGAATTGCAAATGTTTTGCCAAATTAACTTAATATCCCACAGCGTTACAAGTTTTTCCAATTGTGTTTGTTTTTCTGTGTAGGATATTTATGAACGTAAAATGCACCCTTTCTGAAATAAATCAACTGGAACAGCATATATATGTTTACGATTTTGGATTAACCCTATTAACTTTGCTTTGGTATTAAATTTCTGAAGAGGTTAAACCAGTAAATTCTTCAGTTACTTGAGTTATCTATAAATTGAAATTTTAAATAAATAAAAACCACATGATTTGTTGAAAGAGAGCATTTTTAGTGACCGGCTACAAACCTTCATTAAAAATCCTCCCTTTCCACGAAATATGTATTTATTTTGAGCTGTAATTTCTGGAAATTAAGTTTAATCCTCCAATATGTTAAACCAAAATAAAGCGTACGGAAAAATTAGCTCAAAGTCGATAAATATACAGTGTTTCATTTGATTTTTCCAGAAGCAGTACAATTGGCCTTTAAAAACACCCGGTATGGGTGATGCAAGAAATTTAAAATACGTTTAAATGAAGAGAGTTTCTTATATATGAAACTCATTTTGACGAAGAGTTTGCTGCCCTTTCTGCTAAAATGACTGTTTTACAAGCTGTCAAATTTGAGTATCATTTATATGAGGAATGTATAGTAGCCTACAGCTTTTGTGGCCAACTATTTTAGATACCTTCCAAACTAACGGAGCTATAGACCCATTACGCACTAAAAACTCATCCTGTAGAAACGATGTTTAGAAGCAGACCGTAATTTCAGCTTATGATTTCAATCAAGCTCAATGTATGCGTAAGAAAACTGTAAGTTTCTCAATTTGTGCTAATTTAAAATAATGATATACCAAAGATAGGACATTGATGAGAAGTTTGATGTTAAAAATTATACACGTGCATCAGGTAACTCACCCATATTGGTATCGGTGGTTGGTTCTTTAGCAATTTGAGAAGACGGATCTTCCTCTGGAATGGTTACGATATTACTAGTTCCTGATGGTACTGTAGTCACAGCTACGTTAGAGTGACTCGAGCTCGCAGTGCTCTTCAGTTTCTTTTTAAGATCAGCCCTATCGTCTTTGGTCGTACGCTTGGTAATATCCAATCTAGAAAAGAACATGTCTTGTTTATAAGAATCGACATTACAGGAAGAAGTATTTTATTTTAGATTTTCATTGTACTACTTTTAAGAACTTGATATGTCGGATTTGTGTGGTTTAAAAATTGTCATTGATGTAAGTATCTCAAAAATCAGAACAACAGTGGAAACATCGCCTTCAGGTTCCAAACACCAAAATTAAGATAAAGCTTGTGAGCTCTTGACTCTTGTACAAAAATGTCCTCAATAAGGTTGACTCTGCACTTCCCACGGAACGCCGTCATAAAATATAATGTTCGGCACAGGTTAGCTTCTCTTAGGAAAAAATTAACCACGAACACGTCTAACGAAGGATTTAAATTGATCAAGTCATTTGAGAATGTTGTGACCTAAACATATCTTCTCTGACCTGCGATCACCCCCAAAGAGATTAGTAAATTAATTGGCCTTAGCAGCAAAGGTACATTCAGGTTACAGGCGAGTGGCGTATATTTTACCACAAATTGGCTGAAATTCTAATAACGCCGTTAGGAATAAATTTAATGTTGAAGTCTTTTCAATTGAGATTGTCCCCTATATCTCAATTGCTCTGAATTATAGTTCATACGGCGTTATGTCTGGAAATAAACGAAACATAATCTAACTGTTGAGATATTGGTCAACCTACTTGACGCCAGTTTTTAATCATCTCAAAAGATGGTGAATGTGCAATGGCCTAGAACTGATAAGCAAAGTATCAAGATATCTCTATATGTATATTGAGTTTCAAAGTGGAACAGCTCAATTTCTAAATGATTTCTAAATGTGGTGTTGGTAAATTCTTATCAATGAAGATGCTTTTAAGATTGGTGACGGTTGTGAAATTGAGCATAAAAACGTTAATCTAGAAACTTACGTTCCATCAGCGGTAGCAGAGGCCTGTTCAGCAGATTTCGGATCAACTGCATCCGTAGCTCCTGCTCCACAGTATCCGCTACTGCCACTCGAATTGCTCTCGCTATGCTTTGATTTTGAGCTAGCGCTATAGACCAACAAATAAAAGGTATAACTTAAATCTGCATTATAACCTTTAGTGGTGCACTAGTTAATATTGATTAAATTATTATTATTTAAGCATGTATCTACAAGTAAGATGTAACAATCTGGCTCCGCTCCACAAAAGGGAGTATGGAGTATGGTGGACCACTGTAACATTTAGTTTTGGTCCGCTGCTCAAAAGAATATTCTGATTCGATTTTTTGAATAATTTTATTTAAAAAAAACGAATTGCAGAATATACATTGAGTGCGCGTTTGATTAAAAATTAAAAAACAAAAGTTTGCATTAAGATTGCATTAAGAATACTCCTTAAACTGCTTTGGTAATCTATTAAAGGATTTGGATTTTTAAAAATGGCATACCTATTTCTTCAGAAGAACCCAAAAAGCATAAAAAAATTTTCAAAGTGGAAAACTCAGTTTTTTTAATTGTTTGAAAAAATTGTTCACACAATTTATCGCAAAATTTTGGACCTGTGGACATGAAGATTCGTTAAGAATAATCCTAAGAATTATTCAAAGCTGAAAAACCAAATTTAGAAATTGTTTAAAACAATTATTCACTCAATTTTTGACAAAGTTTTGGATCCAGAAACATGCAGATTCGATCCAATGAGATGTTGCAAAACAAATTGAATATGACTATTTTTCCGATCAGATGCTAAAATACTTCCTGGACTATGTAACATGGCATTGTTCGATCTAAATCAGCTTTCCGTTCAACTGGCCTATAATAATATATTTGAACCATCTGTCAAAAAAGGACAGGCGCCTTCAGGCAAACTTTATTTTTCTTTTTATGTATGCTACTGACCTTTTTCTTGAATTGGTGTTGCTGCAGCTATTAGAATAGCCAGAATCAGAGTTCCTCGTGATCGCTGTGCCGTTGACAGATTCCATGCTTTCTTGATGTGTCTCCACTTTGGCGCTTTGTCTTAACCAACGCGATCTGTAACAATATTCCCATGTATATACTTGGTTCACGGCACAATATGCATTCATATATTTGCAAGTCTACGATAGCGTTTCTGGTAGAGCGAAATGTATAGACAATTCAAAATATACAGCATTAACTTATCAATGCTCAGCACTATGGAGCACATGCAACTTTACAGTCCAAACTCTCTAAAACATACCAACGACAAAATATAAATGTACGACTATGTAAGTATGTATGTAAAGTTACATCCAGCCATCAGTATACTCTTTCAACCAAGAATCTGCTCGGATCAAAACTACTACAAAAAACCAAGTGTGTGTGTGAGTTGTGTGTTGTCTATATTACGCACGTGAGTGCCATAGGTTGCTGGAGCTGGCTTATTATATCTGTTACCCGTATATGGCTAGTGAAGCAGTGTCGGTACTAAGAGGTCGGCAAAAAGGGTCAAAGGTGGCATAGTTTTTTTGCATACCAAAGCAACCGCGCAGGCAGAAGCGTAAATGACAGGACACCGCAGCTGTTTGAAGGAGCTGAAAGAAATTTTGTTAATCCGATTTTTGAATTGTCAAAGGTTAGTAAAACTGGGAAAAGCCTCCTCATGTAGATTGTTCCACAATCTCGTTACCCTAGGTACAAAGAAGCGGTCGTATCGACCAGTTCTGGATGTACTAAGTTCGGCGTGGTTAGGAAGGGAGGCTGAAGTCAAGTGGGTATGTCCGGCAAGCACATCGCGCGGCGGCATTATGCAGGAGAATTCTGAGGAGCAAACCCCGTTGGCTGGATATCCTAGGTCCCGCCGATGCGAAAGGGTCCCGATACTGTCCGTTAAAGAAGGGTTATCGATCAATCAGATATTCCTTCATTACTGTTGTTTGGAGAAGATAATTTTTTGTATATTATACCTTCCAATATAGCAAATTAAGCCAGAAGATGACCAAAAGTGTGCACTAAGACTGCTTAATTTCGGCGACAAACATACAGGCTTGACTCCTTCTAGCCCATTCGACTTTGTTAATACACCAACGTTTTTGGGCCCTTACTATGAAGAGAGAAGGACTAGTCATTCCCAAAAACAAAGGAGCCCAACAGAAAAAAAATCGTTGTCGAGTCGTACCTTTCATCTTATTCAACTGCGGCAGCTGAAGAATCTACATCTGATTGCCATTTTGTAAATGCAAAAAATATAATTGAGTGTCAATTAATCATATTAAATGACAACTTCCCTGTTTTGTGAAGTAATTGTAATGTTTGTTTTCATCGATGCAAGTTGTTCACTGGTGAAATACGAAAATAACCATGTCTCAACAAGAGATGTAAGCGGATTTCAAACGTTTGAGAATGAAATATTTTTTAAAATTTATGTGATCACTTTATTTAAAATATCTTGCCTTATAACCATATAAGTCAAAACTAATATCTCCTGTAAAAACATATGTCTTAGGTATAAGTTATTTCAGTATTATGGGTAGATTAATAGCGAATGAATTCATACTTCCAAAATTGGTGAATGCACCACAACAACTAAAAGTAGTTATAGTCTTAGAAAATGGTGGATGCGCTTCGAGGGTCCTATGTAATAATTATGCTCTTAGAAAAATGGTGAATGTGTATATGATTTTTAGGTAACAGTCACTATCTTGGTTACATTAAAAAAAGAAACATAGTTTTACAAGTAAACAAAATAAAATAATATGTTTCAACGGAACAAAGAAGCGCAAAAAAACAAAATAATGTCTCAGAGGCCAATTTTCAAACGTAAATCAACTAAAATATCAAATTTGATTAACATACACATTGTATAGCAATTTCAAAAATTGTATAAGGTCTCCGTCAACTGTTGAAAAATAAAAACTTACGCAACATTTTAATTTTCATACAGGCACAACGTAGAATGTATGAGTGTATAGATAATTTGGAATAAATGAAAATAACAAAGTAATGTAACAACAAAACTAAATAATATAAAAGTATATATGCGTATAAAGTTGCGTTTTTGGCAAAAGGAGGTCACGGAATGAAAAACCTAGAACCTCTTAGGGTGAAATTCTCGAATGTCAGCTCGCAAAGTAAAGTAACAATGTTGGCTACAATCACGGTGTCTGACAGTTCTGTTAATTAACACTATAATAACATCGTGATATTTTTTGAAGAAGTGGAGGTTTTGTGTGAAAAAAACAAGCTGATATTACACGAAGACAAAGCTACTGCAATAAACTTTCGCATTTAGAAAGTTGTACCTTCTGATATCCCTTTACCATGAATTTGTATACAGCCACTTGTTTGTTGTAATAGTGTCATTGGTGTCAACGTATTTACGTATATACGTACGTGAATTATGTTAAAACGTAAACAAATTTGAGATGGAAAATAACTATGATACAAGACAAGCACCACTAAGTTGAAAGCACGTTGTGTAAGGACATGTGGCAATGTATAATGCTCTACATATAGATTTGAGAGGTATTGATAGCTACTGTACTTTTTGAAAATCGTATTTAATTAACCGATAATTGTTTTCTTACCTGTTCATAGTTAAAAATGGTTTGTTTTAAATATCAGCTTTTAACACAACTCTAACTTTGTTCATTATTTAATTTGCGCTCTACATATGCATTGATAAGATCACTACAACTTTAAATGTTAATTAAATATCCTGATTTTGATTAAATTGTCTTAGAGCATAAATATTATTATGTTTATCTTAGATTAACTCTTGAAGTTGTAATCATTCTGTCATCCTTGTTCCTCTTTTATCCCTTGCCATTTAAACCATGTATTTGACTTGATAAAATACTGCTACTGTTACTACTAGTAATAGTTAGAGGTGAAAGCAGATTTGGAGAAATATCTAGCTAGCAACCAATATTTTATTGCTTTTATATCGTGAGATTGTTAAAAACATTTTTTTATAAACTAGCCATCAACTTCCAATAAATAACCTTCTAAACAACTTACACGAAAGTTTGAAGGTCACACAGGCACTATAGGGTACGCGGTACGCGGGGGTCGGAAACGTAAGCGATTTTCGAAGAAGGGTGAAAAGGGAGGATAGAAGGAAAGAAGAGGCAGTGATGGTGGTCTCCGCAGAAGCCGAACGTGGAATGCAACGTGAGATGCTCCACGGGCACAAGGCATTCGAAACTCCAACTCACGGAGGTCCCCCCACTCTTGGAGGGTCTCAGTGTAGATATTAATAACGACCAACTGGGAGGCTGAAGTTTGGAAGTTGGAGAAGGGGGTGTTATGGAACAATTCGAATGTTTTCTTTTATTTGTGGAGGCTAGCCACTTATATCATTGACCTTTGCAGCAATCAAGTACACATTCAACATGTGGACATTGTCTTTACTTGCTCGCAGTATTTTAATCGTAGGGACTTTTCATGCTTAGATTTTTGGTGCTATTTACATCACGAAGTCGAAGTCACTCATGGAGTTACGGAAAGTTAAGCACGGTTATGAAAGCCTCCTTGCGTTGCGTTGGTGTAGATTAACTATTTACTTGTATATGTTTTGACCTTTGTGGTTAGCAGACAGATAGTTAACATGCAGTTGTTTTTACTTTGCATCTACGAGTAATGCAATTGCGAAAACGTACAGCTGTTAGATACTTCGTGATATTTAAAAGGTGACCAATACAGAGGTACCTTTTTAAATAATAGTTAAACAGAACTAATAAATTGTGTCGGTCATCTCTATTATCAAATAAAGAAAGCATTATCCATTCGGTTTTTAAATTACGATTTCAAATGCTAGTCGTCTTGTGGTTAATGTTTTTTGTTACACCGAAGCAGCCACGTAGGCGGTAGCCTAAATACCAGGGCACCGCGGCTGCAATGAGGAGCTTTGTTAATTCGATTTTTAACTGCCTGACGTTAGTAAACTGAAAAAAGCTTTCTCAGGCACATTGTTACTCAATGGCGATACTCTAGGGACGAAGGAGTAGTCGTGTCGGTCTGTTCTGAATGTTCGAAATTCAACATGATTAGGATGGGAGACCGAAATCAGACGGGTCTGTCTGGCAGGCACATTAATTTAGTTTACGGCCCGTCGATGCGAAAGGGTCCCGAGACTGTCCGTTAGAAAAGAGTTCTCGATCAGTCGGACAGCCCTCCTCTGGACAGCATCAAATATTAATAATGTAGTCGGGGCGGCAGCACGCCAAATGTGTGAGCAATACACGAGGCTAGGTCTTATCTGAGCCTAGTACAGAGTGAGCAAGTTATGTGGAGAAAAGTACCTCTCATCTCTGAACAAATAGCATAGGCTTTTCGCAGCAGCTGCGACTCTTCACGCGATGTGTTCGTGCTAGATCAAGTCCTCGGTGATCTCGACACGACCAGATTTTTGGTAGAACTTGGCCATCCATCAAAACCAGATAATCGGAGGGGGCTTCTTGTTAGTCGAGGTACAGTACTGTGTTTTGGAGGCATTAAAATATTGCGCCCTCAAGCAGTGCTAACCTCCAGGTCTCTCATCAGAGAGGAAGTCGCTGCTAGTCTTCTTTCCTCCAGCTCACCGGCAGAAGTCAGCTTGTCCCTTAGAATACCTGCATGTACACTGATGTCGTTAGTAAATCTGTGGATCGGATTGATCGTACAGGAAAGGAGGTCGTTTGTATGTTAGAGGAACAATGTCGGAGCCAAGACCGATCCCTCGGGAATACCCGCGTTGGCATTGAGGGCTGAAGGGGAGAAAGCTTATCTGGGAAACCATAGGACGGAAGCTTATACAAGAGGGCCGCATGACACAGATGACTGAACGCTTTCATGGTATCAAGAGCAACGACATGAGCCTCACAGTTGCGTGGCGTAAGCTAGGAGGGTCCCGTGGATCGCTGGTGCCGGAAACCATACTGCCTGTCGCTAATCAAACCGTGACGCTCAAGGTACTCAAGGTACTCCCGCCTGATGCACTTCTCCGTCACCTTACTTATCACAGAAAGCAGAGCTATGGGCCTGTAGTCGTAAGTGTCAATATTAGATCCTTTTTTGAAATGTGCTGGACATGA